GAAGGGAGGGGGGGGGGGACGGTTTGCAACCAGCCCGGGTGGAAGGATCTCTAGTTAGACTGTAGTTTGAACTATAGTGTTCAAACTGCAGTCTTAAAACTGCAGTTGCAGGGGAGAAAAGAAAGAGAAATAAGTATAGTTAATACACTAGTTTGACAATTGAGTTTTCAGATATTTTATTATACTACTTTTTCTGTAGTTTTCCATACCAGTTTCGCACTGTAGTTTTAAGACAGTTTTAAGACCAATTTACTATCGAGTTTCCGACATTAGTATGAAGTTGTCCTGAAAGTTGTATTTGCATCTGAATTGCAACTAGTACATTAACTGTAATTCTGACTAGATGATAATAAAGAGTTCAAATTTAATCTTTCCACACCATTTAACATCCAGAATACCTATAGTTGAACTAGCAGATAACACCAATAGTACCAATCTGTGTTGGGAAAACCAATTTTTATACCGTATCTGTATATTTTGAGTACTTAGAGATATAATTTCGATTGAACAAATCATTAGACTTGTGAATATTTGTTATCTATGATCTATATAGCATGCAATAACAAGCGAGCAATTTTTTTAAGTGCAATGAAATATTTGGGTTGATTACACTTTGTGTGTACGTCTACACAACGTGTTTCACACCTCTGATAGTGTGACGTAGATGACACCAAACTTAATACAAATTGCAAATGTAGCATTGGCGTAGTTTCAATCTCAAATAATTTATATTTTTTTCGTAAAACTGTCACTGACGCCCCGTCGACATTAAGTCCACTGTTTGATGACTTGAAATAAATACGTATAGCTCCACAACAAACACCAATATTGTTGACTTATCGAACACTATCAATAATCACAAAATTTTCAGTAGTCGGGAGACATTTCTTGCAAGATTGGCAGTTAAAAACGAAGACACTTTAGTTAAACTATGTTTTAACTGTAGTCACACTATAGTTCGGACTGCAATAGGGGGGTTGGCTAGGCTCTGAGGGACATCGGGCAACGGCATTCCTTCCCGCATCGTGGCGCCATAGCCCAGGGGTACAGACCTCGACTCCGAATCGGAAGGTTCGGGGTTCAAATCCCATCGGTCGCCGTCAACTTTCATCATCCAAGTAAGTAACTTAGAGGGTAAAGCTGGTAACCCGAAAGGGAGAAGCGTAACCTAAGTAGATTAGGGCAACGTGGGGTGTAAAAATTTTCAAATTTGAAAACAAGAACTATACTTATAGGATGCTGCAAAACTCACATTTAACTACAGTAAAACTGTGATTTAAGTTGCAGAAAACTGGCAGAATTCTGGAACGAACTATGGAAAACTGTCGGAAAACTGTAGTTTGTCCGAAAAAAGAGGTACTTTTCGTACAGTTAAACTGTAGTTTTTCGTACTTATAATGTAGTTTAAGCACATTTTTCTGTACTTTAACTGGAGTTTCAGAACACTGAAACTACCATATAGACACACTTGAAACCCTACTTCTGACTTAGCCCCGCATGCACTCTATCTGCATTATAAGTTGTGAAAAAACTTAGAAAACTGATGTAGTCTAAAGTGTAGATCCTTCCACCCGGGGGCGCTGTTTTACACGTTCGACCACTATGTGGTCACGCTCCCATGTTAAATCATGGACACCAAATGAGCCGTAGGGAACGTGTGAGCATGTCCAC